TGTGAATTCCCCAGGAAGTTGAGAATGAGAACTGGAATGCAAACGGAACCACTTTGAGAAACATACAATTCACATTTGAGCAGATACTAGTATTTGGACAAGTGTGGTATAAACATAATGATAATTATACACGGAATAATGATAATTATACACTCACGTTTTGGCTCCGGACATTTTCGGTATGGCACAGATCCTCTGAATGGCAGACTGATCGAATGTGTAGCCAAAGAACGTGAACAGTCCACCCAAAGTAAGGGCCCAGAAGGAATGGCGGACACGGGGATCAGGGTCGAAGCTGCAGCCATCAAAGTGATGATGTGAGCAGGTGGGGTTGTAAAGTTGTAGTGGATGTTAACCGTGATATTCACGAGCTCATGTTAACATTCATTTCACTTTTGTAAGAATGTATTCACACAACTATGGTATTACATGCATCCCTATCGGATAACCATTTGTCTGTTTGCTTTGAATACACAATGAGTTTTACAAAAATGATCAAATTTGACAGATTCATTTAGTTTTTATGTTAGCATGCAAGCCCAAATATATAGCATACGTTACATATGGTCACTTTTTAATAGGTTTTGTGCAGTCATAGCTTTCGGCCGTGGGTGCCGTGCCAATTTACACAAAGTACATGGTCCGGACTGCATGTTATATGACTACCATATTTTTATTACCGGTGGCTGAGTGGGTTAGATCGCTGAATTTGTGTGGTGGCGGTCAGGTGCATATGTTACATTTGGCCACTTTCAAAAAGGCGTTTTGCATTCTTTCCATAATTCTTGTAAATGTCTACTAAAAAACAATTTTAGCTGATACGATTCTGAACACATCAAAAGCTTGTGTTAATGAGCCACCATCAAGTGATGACACCACTGGTTCTCAAAAAGTTAAGTGTAGCCTTACTCGACAGGTGGAATTCTGCCTCCTTCCTTCGCCAAGGTCCATGTTGTGTCCAGACCTCCAACTTCATGAACACCCTGCGAACATGATCATCACAAACGACACTTCATTAATATTGTGAAATCGCAGTCCTTGATGTGTTATTGTGACATTTCCCAATCTTTTCATATATAAGTAGCAAATATATATAACTATGTTCCCAGTCGAAGTATGGGTGCTGACTTGAATTTGGATTTACTCTGCAAAGTTTAAAGTTTACCTTCGAAATTTAGTTCCGTCCAATCTTGTACATGTATTTTATTTGTCCTTACATTTGTGCCAAATCATGATGACTCACCATTCCAAAAGACGGTGCATATATAAATCAAGATAACATTACAAAGGATGGCTTATATACCTGTCACAAGGACTTGCTATTTTAAGGAAGGTGATACTTTACCAATCAAGATGACCTGTCTTTACAAGGACTTTGAATATGCTTATGAAATCTCACCACTTTTATAAGGACGTTGAATATAGAATGAGTGACTGAGTGAGTGAGTTTAGTTTTACGCCGCACTCAGCAATATCCCAGCTATATGGCGGCGGTCTGTAAATAATCGAGTCTGGACCAGACAATCCAGTGATCAACAGCATGAGCATCGATCTGCGCAATTGGGAACTGATGACATGTGTCAACCAAGTCAGCGAGCCTGACCACCCGATCCCGTTAGTCGCCTCTTACGACAAGCATGGGTTACTGAAGATCAATATTCTAACCCGGACCTTCACGGGTCTTGAATATAGAAATCAAGACGACTCACCACTGAATATACCAATCAAAACTACTCACCTTCACGAGCACGAAGAATATACCAAGCATGATGATGGCCGCCTGAAAGACATCAACGAGGACCACCCCTCGGATTCCGCCCTGTGTACATAGATATATAGCACATAGTATATCATCTATGAAGCTCTGACGATGAAAGCAGGTTGGTAAACAACGTGCTTTATGTCAATAGCATAGCATATTTTGTGTATTACCAAGCGACATGTGTTCATGTCTTGCACTGATGGACACCTAAAATTTGTAAGACGAACTGCAAAGAAAAATAACAGCAACAATATTTTTCAAAGAAATTGTTACCTTCGTCGCGATGTCAAAGGAAATGTAACTAGGCAAACATTTGTTTTCATTTGGTCTCAGACAACAGTCAAATGTCAATGAATGTTTCAAACTTGACGTGAAATATGTATTGCTGTTTAACTGTAAAAAACAATAACCTCATATACAGTAACGAGCAGACAATATACGACTTTTCACAGACGTAGTTTCAAAATTTATTTACTGATAAAATCAGTTATAATTTTCATACATCCACTCTGGATACTGAAGTTTATATTTATGCAAGTCAATATTCTGTTAGTCCACCGTTTCTCTCGATGCACTGCTGAATACGGCGTCCCATGCTGTCAATCAAATTGTCTATGTAGTCCTGGGGTAGGTCCACCCATATTTGACTGATGGGATTAGGCCACTCAACGACACTCTTCGGTTCCAACTTTTCTAATTTGTCCTTCATAATCTGCCACACATTTTCAATTGGGTTTAGGTCTGGTGATGCTGCTGGAAATTTCTGTAAGGTCACGTGACTCGTTTCAAACCAGTTACAGGTGTGTCTTGACTTGTGTACAGGTGCATTGTCCTGTAAAAGTTTGATTTCTGTAGTTTTGTTACGTCATGGCAAAGCTTCGGTATCGTTTGCTAGCAACGAGGTCATGTGATCAAACCATCCCTGAACCCAAGGGAGATAGTTCCATACCAACGAGGCAAGCTACTGGCGGCTAGAAACAAAGTATTTCGGCTTTTTTGATAGTAGGATCGAGTCTACAGAATAAAGTTTTTTGTCGCATTCTGCTCGTTACTATATATGCATCAGTAATTACATCAATCAAGCCAGTGAGCCTGGCCACTGATAATCTCCTTTTACGACAAAATCTGACGAATTCTTCATTACTCCACGAAACGGCAGGTTCCATGATGACTCTACATAGCACGGTTTCTTGTCATAGTAATAAGACCACTGATCACATATATTGTCTCATCACCGGTGACGATCCGGGTTAGAATTGATCTTCAGGAACCCATGCTTGGCATAAGAGGCCATTAACGGGATCGGGTGGTCAGGCTATCTGACTTGGTTGACACATGTCATCGTATCCCAGGCTGTTGATCTCTAGATTGTCTGGTCCAGACTCGATTATTTACAGACGGCCGTCATAAAGCCGGAATATTCCTGAGGTCGGCGTAAAACTAAACTCACTCACTCACTCATCGATGTCAACTTACCATTGACGTGTACACGATTCCAACTAATCCCACAATGACGACCGACACCCAAAATGGTAAACCTGTAGCTGTGAACACAAGCAAAAGGTCAGTTTCCTGTTAATAAATTTGAAATTCCTATTATATAGGACAGCATTAGGTTATATTTCAAATAACCAGAAAAGAATATTGTCATGTGATTCCTGTTTATGCAGACATGACTTTTCTTACTTAGATCCATTTATTTCAGTCAATGTTTTTAGTCGGTATTTCAAAATCAGTTGCAGAAAACATCAATTTCTCGTATCGTCTCTCTTATACAACATCATGCATGGGAACCAGTTGGCCAATGTTCGCGCGAGATTCACTCACTAACTTATGAAAAACTAAATATGGCTTGGAATCGGCTCGTGGGTTTTAAATCTAGCTGTATGCATAAATAAAGTAATTATGGAGAGAAGGAAAAGGACTGCACCCATTTTGAATGTGAATAAATGCAATAAAACTATTATCGGAATCATAAGAAATCTCCCACGAATCCATTATACGAGTCCAACTCTGTTTTATGAATCACTTCTTCTTCTTCATTTATTTTTCAGTAATAAGGCCTCAGGCCCACGTACATATTACATGAAAATATTTACAAATGGTGCTGCATTTCCTGAATCACTGAGTACACGGGAAGTATGAAACGTTCACGTCAATAAAGTATGTTTGCTTCAGTTCAGGCTCATTCAAGAGTTGTAGCTCAACCATACCCCTTTGTCCACGAGTCAAAATAGCTAGGAGAAGGACGTTAGTACAATATGCTTTATCTTGGTAAACGCTGTTCATAGAGGTGTTGACTGATACCAAGGGCCATATTGGAACGCAGGTGCAAGTTGCTTACCTGTTTGAATTGATAATGCAGGTGACAGCAAAACTACGGCGGTGAAAACGATCTAGAAATATACACAGGTGATATATATTTATAGTCTGTTTGCAGTGAAAACGTACCGATGAATTTCACTTTAAGCCAAAAAGCAAATCAAATAAAGTGAAAATAAGATTGCGAACCCTCATAATTTTACCTTGCCAATTGAACATTTATATTAGGTCATGTGGTTATATATGGGACTGCATCTTGCTAGACGAATTAGGATTCGGTCGTGGTGGTTATTGTTCTTCACGGTCCAGGGCGGTTCTTTACCTAAGCGGTGGGTACGTGATTCCTCACTGATAACCGTATGATTAATGTCAGCACCGATGTTACGACAGGACTGGCTGTGTCATGCATGCCGAAATTAACATCTCATTTATCATCTCCCACACCACCTCACATCTCATCTACCGCTCCCACATCTTTGGGATATTGTGTGAAGCACGACGTGCTTCACATGTAAATTTAACTTTGCTCGGGTAGATCCCTTGTTTGGAACAAATATCTTTAAAATTGCCTGTGGGTTTAGGTGGTGATTAATTAATGCCCATGTGTATATTTCCATCCCATTATCGGTTATTGATTTTTATAAGGCAATATCAGTTTGAACTGGCGATAAAATCTTTAAGGATGATTGTGTTCCTAGATTTTCTACGCTCAAACCAGAACGCAAAAAGATATCCATTAATGCTCCGACACTTTGGCTTGTAAAATTTTTTATTCACTTTGTTTGGCTACTGGTTCATATGTCTGTTAGTGCTTATTTAGTTCATTTAATTTTTACATCAATGGACATCTTTAATAATAAAACACAACCTTTAGATGACCTTGAGGATTATTAGCATTAAGTGCTGTGTCGAAAAGAAAGGTATGCTATTTCACACTTAGGATTATTTGAAATTGCTAGAATGTAGGACATTGACTGAAATATTCTTGTAAATGTTTCAGCATATGCTGAGACGACTTACTCTTTTCTATTATTTGGTTGTTTAATGTCCGACTCACCTTCTGAAACATTCCGACAACTGTCACCAAGAGCCAGAGAAAGGGAGATTGGAAGCGCAGGCGGAAATACTGAAATGCAAAGGACAATGTTAGTACAAAATTGTTAACACAACGTTTCTTGCTACAGGTACAGCAATACATGATTACCCTGGTTGCGAACACCTGGTGTTATGACTGATTTACAGTGATCTATTTATACAATCTCCTCTAGCAGACAATCAAGACAGGTTTTGTATATTTACAAATTTGGGATATAGACATAAGCATTGCTTTACACCGTTTACAAGAATGGAAGTGGAGAAAAGGATTATGTTGTCAAAGATTCACTAGCACATTTCCTTATCATTCTTGAAAATACGCTATTTTCGACACCTTCCCCTCATATTCCAACCGCACATCACTCTTCACTACAACATCCCATACATCACACCACTCACAGCCCTAACACCTCGTATCCCAATTTATCCGTGAAGGTCCGAGTTAGAATATTGATCTTCAGTAACCCATGCTTATCGTAAGAGGCAACTAACGGGATCGGGTGGTCAGGCTCGCTGACTTGGTTGACGCATGTCATCGGTTCCCAATTGCGCAGATCGATGTTCATGCTGTTGATCACTGGATTGTCTGGTCCAGACTCGATTATTTACAGACCGCCGCCATATATCTGGAATATTGCTGAGTGCGGCGTAAAACTAAACTCACTCACTCGTATCCCACTTGCCACACCATTCTCAACCACCACACCTAATATGGCATATTAGACTGAATCAAAGTGGTCATGACCATAACTAACTGCACTGGAGCAGGGCCACGTACTGTTAATGCATCAAATTAGCTTCAACACAACATGGAACGGATATACATATTCCGGATTATGTAGTTGCACATTATATAGTTTCAATTATGAGATGCTAGACGCAACCATATGACTGAATGTTGAATGATATAAGAATAGTTTACAATATGCGTTATGCGATTTGACCAAATGTATACAATTACAACATTTACATAAACCCCTTAGTGTCATAAGGTAAAGGAAAGCGGGTCATCTTTCTGAGGCACATTACCACGATGAGGAGTGAATTACTTGGGTTTTAACATTATTCCGGTAACATCACGACAGTGGACATCGGAAATGGGCTTCACTCATGGTATGTGGGGACTTCCATCCACGGGACTTCGGTGTGACGGCGAACGCTTTAACCACAAGGCTACCTCACGCCGAGGCCCGGGTTCGATTCCCCACATGGGTACAATGTCTGAAGCCGAATTCTGGTGACCTCTGCCATGATATTGCTGAAATATTGCTAAAAACTCGTCCACTCACATTTTGCATTTGATACAGCGCTTCTTATACCTTCCACAGCTGCTAGACAACGCATATGAGTGAAATTGATATTGAGATATTGAAACCGACAGGTCGATTTTAATGCATTTCATACCAGATGTCAATAGTCGTTCTTAATTCACGGCGGATGACATACGAAATGGACTTCAGAGTGATACCAGAGTTGGGATTCGAACCCGGTCGTCGGCGTGAAGAGCGAATACGTTAACCACAAGGCTGCACCACCGCCCTTAAACAACTAAGACAATGTATGGGTGAATAACTATAGATGAAACTAACACAGTCTAACTGTAAATTAACCTCTTAAATCTGCAAGTCGGAAATATTGACTTACGGAGCTTCAATAGGGTCTTTACGGACAAAGAGTAGTGTTTACGGCACAGGTGGGAAAATGCCACTTTTCCTTGGCGAAAACACAAGAAGTGATATAGATCGTTTTTATCTCGTACCTTATGTAATGTGTATCATTTGTGTTGTAAGAGTGCGAAATGATTTCATACCATATTATAAGTTGTATACTTCTCTCGAGGGTAATACAGTCTGATGTACGCCTCTTTGTAGCTGTGTCATCACTCGCCTACCGGCTCGGGTAGGCGTACATCAGACCCGAGGGAGAAGCATACAACGTATGAATCTTACCGCTATGTTAAATGTAAAAAATATCATTTTATTTTATTTTGAAGATCGCTACCGTCTATATGACATGTAAACAAAATGGCGTCTGTTTCTCGACTGGAACTATAAAATCAGTGAAACATTTTCTGACAAGCTTAAAACTGCTATAGAATGGTTAGTTATATTTAAGGTGAGTGTGCAAACGATTCAATGTATAAAATAAGCCGTGAAAGTCGGTAAAATAAATTTGTACATAGTGAACACAAAAACGGCTAATCGAACGGTTTTCAAACTCCCTGCACTGCACGCATCATATTATGACGCCATACAATTGTTAGCGATACAGCTTCTTGACGGAGAGTTTGGCGGTTACCTTGGCAGCGGGTAATATTTTTTCCAGTTGTCACCATCCAGGGAGGGGTGGCACGGAAAGAAACATGTTAAAGCGTCATTGAACAATGAAATTAAAGTATTTAACATGAAGGTAAGATAAATATGTATATCGGAACGTCTTTTGTCAAACAGTATGTGCAAGCACACCTGTAAACTTGCTCATATGCGTTTGTGTGTGACATACGTGACTTGTATTCAATAACCTGAGCTAACCCACCTAAACCATGACTATGTATATATGTGTTTAATGTGTTAGAGTAATTATATTTTAAAAAGTACTTAACTTTATGAATGCCTGCAGTATCATATAAGCCGAAGGACACAATGGGACCTAAGAGCAAAGTGAATATTATGTAATAATTTATATAAGCAATGAAAATATTTTTATACTGCTATAGGTGACACCTCAGCGGAAGAGGTATATATGGCCATCACTTCATAGTGCAAAATGTGAGTGGACGAGTTTTTAGCACTATTTCAGCAATATCATGGCAGAGGACACCAGAATAGCATAGCACTCATACTCTCTCGTCTCTCTCATAACAATGGACAGTGGCATATGTTTTACGATGTATTGCTTTCATCATACATCATTTGGCATACATCATCTGTATGGAAGACAATAATAACATGCTTTCATTTCTTCGATTTATTTTAAGAATATTTTTATACCGCTATAGGTGACACCTCAGAGGAAGAGGTATGGCCATCACTTCTTCCTGCCAGTTAGCTGAGGCTTAGATATCGATCTTTCTGATATCAATGAAGCATTTGTCATGACATTTCTTGACTCCTTTCTCCAAGGATGAAGGTAACGAAAATGAAATTGAAGTACAGGCTCATTAACATTAAGGACTATTTTCTAGACACGACTAAATGCTTGTGGTATTGTACCTTTGAGTAGTCGTGGTAAATAAGAGGTGGTGATGTTAGTGCAACGGACCAGTCCCAGAAGCCTTTTTTGATGAGCTGATCTAGTTATCATGAATTAAATCAGATTTCGACGGATCAGTCCTTGGCCATCACTTCATAGTGCAAAATGTGAGTGGACGAGTTTTAGCACTATTTCAGCAATATCATGGCAGAGGACACCTGAATAGCATAGCACTCATACTCTCGTCTCTCTCATAACAATGGACAGTGGCATATGTTTTTACGATGTATTGCTTTCATCATACATCATTTGGCATACATCATCTGTATGGAAGACAATAATAACATGCTTTCATTTCTTCGATTTATTTTAAGAATATTTTATACCGCTATAGGTGACACCTCAGAGGAAGAGGTATGTATGGCCATCACTTCTTCCCGCCAGTTAGCTGAGGCTTAGATATCGATCTTCTGATATCAATGAAGCATTTGTCATGACATTTCTTGACTCCTTTCTCCAAGGATGAAGGTAACGAAAATGAAATTGAAGTACAGGCTCATTAACATTAAGGACTATTTTCTAGACACGACTAAATGCTTGTGGTATTGTACCTTTGAGTAGTCGTGGTAAATAAGAGGTGGTGGTGATCTTTGGATGAGCTGATCTGGTTATCATGAATAAAATCAGTTTTCGACGGATCAGTCCTGGACGCCTTTTTGGATGTGACTGATCTAGCAATCATGAATTAAATCAGATTTCGACGGATCAGTCCCAGAAGCCTTTTTGGATGAGGCTGATCTAGTTATCATGAATTAAATCAGATTTCGACGGATCAGCCCTAGAAGCCTTTTTGAATGAGGCTGATCTAGTTATCATAATTAAATCAGATTTCGACGGATCAGTCCTAGAAGCCTTTTTGCATGAGGCTGATCTAGTTATCATGAATTAAATCATATTTCAACGGATCGGTCCCAGAAGCCTTTTTGCATGAGGCTGATCTAGTTATCATAACTAAATGAGATTTCCACGGATCAGTTCTAGAAGCCTTTTTGGATAAGGCTGATCTAGTTATCATAACTAAATGAGATTTCAACGGATCTGTCCGTGAAGCCTTTCTGGATGAGGCTTACCTAGTTATCATGAATTGAACCAAACTTCAACGGATTGGTCCCAGAAACCTTTTCGGATGAGGCTAATCTAGTTATCATAACTAAATGACATTTCAACGGATCAGTCCTAGAAGCCTTTTTGGATGAGGCTTACCTAGTTATCATGAATTGAATGAGATTTCGACGGATCTGTCCCAGAGGCCTTTTTGGATGTGACTGATCTAGTAATCATGAATTAAATCAGATTTCAACGGATCAGTCCCAGAAGCCTTTTTGGATGAGGCTGATCTAGTTATCATAATTAAATCAGATTTCGATGGATCTGTCCTAGAAGCCTTTTTGGATGAGGCTAATCTAGCCATCAAGAAATTGAATCAGATTTGATCAGGATTAGTCCCAGAAGCCTTTTTGCATGAGGCTGATCTAGTTATCATGAATTAAATCATATTTCAACGGATCGGTCCCAGAAGCCTTTTTGCATGAGGCTGATCTAATTATCATAACTAAATGAGATTTCAACGGATATGCCCTAGAAGCCTTTTTGGATGAGGCTAATCTAGTTATCAAGAAATTAAATCAGATTTCGACGGATCAGTCCTAGAAGCCTTTTTGGATGAGGCTGATATAGTAATCATGAATTAAATCATATTTCAACGGATCGGTCCCAGGAACCTTTTTGCATGAGGCTGATCTAGTTATCATAACTAAATGAGATTTCTCTGTCCCAGAAGCCTTTTTGGATGAGGCTAATCTAGTTATCAAGAAATCAAATCAGATTTCGACGGATCTGTCCCAGAAGCCTTTTTGCATGAGTCTGATCTAGTTATCATAAATTACGTGGGAAATAGGGACATCTTCTCCTTTAGATCTCTCTGTGGTTTCCTCTTCATTGGCAAATGTGTGCAACTGGGATGCAGACATTCAGGTGCGTCCAGTGCAGTTATGTGAAGACCATGTACCTAGCTGGAAGTTTAATAGACCAGCTGTGGTAAACATACCAGTTCTGATATGATCAATGATTGTATTGATGTCTCCTGTCATAATATCACTAAACAGACTGTTGAAAAAGGAGAGGCATCTATTGGAATGTCTGCCAGTGGATCCACTTCTTCTAAAACTGCTCTTTGGCTGCTCCTTAAGGCAGGATTGTGCTATGAACTGAGTTCCATAGTTAAAGCGGGTGTAAATTCAAATGTAGTGAGACATAGTCGTCGCAGCACACGGCCAAAATAGGGTCTTCTGGCACGAAGTCCAGATTCTTGTAGACGATTACGAAAGGTTTGGGCGGACACTCTCCTCAAACTTTGAGGCTGCTGTGACAGTTCGATTCCGCAAATGAAGTACCTGGATGTACCTATCCTGCGCTGCAGTGGTAACCCTAGGTTTATCACTTCTAGGCCGATCTTGCGTAAAATTGTTTTGGTCCTATCGGTCACTGAAACCACTGATTTTTACTCTGGTGAACATTGAAATGACGTGCCACGGCAGTCTGAGACACTCCAGCCTCCAGACGACCAATGGCAATCTTTCGATTTACAGCAGTGAGTCGTGGCATAAGGTTATTCTTAAGTTTCATTTAGCTAAAAAATACTAATACTAATACCGTCTAAAAGCATAACAGCCTCATCAAAAACGAATTTTTAATAACAAATTGACAATTCATATACCAATACGACTTATGCGTTTCTTTTTTGTGAGAGTATATGTTAGACGTACGCTATAACCTTTGACATTTCACATTACATTAAGACCAACAGACGTGAAGATCATTTTCGAACCTGGATTCCCTGCATATACCTCTAATGAAGGCTTGGGCTCTGTTCCAGATGCATGTTAGCGATTATCATAATAACTGCGTTTATTGCTTAACAGGTAAGTCATCGCGTACGGCTTACTTAACGAGCGATTAACTCGGCACTTGGCGTTTGATATCTGGTTACAATGTACATGAACAAAACCGATAATACAAACGTAGGTTAACTACGTAGGTCAACTTCGCTAATTGTTGTTACATGCAAAAATGTCCCAAACCTACTAAACACACACTATCACCCTTCTACCTGCGTAGCAAATAGTCTCAACGCACGCACGCACGCATGCATGTACCTTCACTTTTGTCAAGTTTGTCATCAATGTTTCTGATGACCTATTGTCGGCTACACGTCACAACACTCTCCGAACACCTCCTCATATCAACGCCACTGATATCCCACCCAAAGCACCACCTCATATCACCCCCGCACCACAACCTCACATCCCTCCCACAACACAACTTCAATTCCCTCCCTCAATACCACTCGTATCCAACCCACAACAACACCTCATATCCCACCAACCACACTGCCCTCCATTAAACCACCTCATATACAACACAGGCTACCACCTCATATCTCACCATCACAAAAACCACAAAACCCACTTCAAAATAACCTCGTATCCCACCCACAACACCTCATTCAATTCTCCCTCACACCACTCACCTCATATCCACCTACAACACACCTATCCAACCATCCACACCAACAACAACCTCCTCATATCCCATCCCAACAACAACACCACCTCATATCCCTCCCACACAACACCTACAAAACCTCATATCCAAAATAACCTCTCATATCCCTCCCACAACAACAACCATCATATCCCTCCCACACCACCACCTCATATCCCTCCCACAACAACACTCATATCCCTCCCAAACACCTCATATCCATCCAACAACACCTCATATCCCTCCTACATCAACACCTCATATCCCTCCTACACCAACACCTCATATCCCTCCCACATCAACACCTCATATCCCTCCCACATCAACACCTCATATCCTCCCACAACAACACCTCATATCCCTCCAACATCAACACCTATCCCCTCCACACACTCACCTCATATCCTCCATAACAACAACACACTAACATCCCTCCCAACAACAACACCTCATATCCCTCTCCTCATACAACAAATACCTCATATCCTCCTACATCAACACCTCTCATATCCTCTCTACAACACATCCTCATATCCTCCCTCCACAATAACACCTCATATCCTCCCACACCAACACCTCATATCCCTCCAACAACAACACCTCATATCCTCCAACAACAACACCTCTCATATCCTCCCCACAACACACCTCTATATCCTCCCACATCACCTCATATCCCTCCAACAACAACACCTCATATCCCTCCCATAACAACCTCATATCCCTCCCACAACAACACCTCATATCCCTCCCACAACAACACCTCATATCCCTCCCACAACAACACCTCATATCCTTCCCATAACAACACCTCATATCCCTCCCACAACAACACCTCATATCCCTCCTACACCAACACCTCATATCCCTCCAACAACAACACCTCATATCCCTCCAACAACAACACTCTCATATCCCTCCCACAACAACACTCATATCCCTCCCACATCAACACCTCATATCCTCCCACATCAACACCTCATATCCCTCACAACAACACCTCATATCCCTCCCACACCAACACCTCTATATCCCTCTATATCCACAACAACACCTCATATCCCTCTTACATCAACACCTCTATATCCTCTCCAACAACAACACATATATCCTCTCCCATATCACCTCTCATATCCCTCCCACAACAACACCTCATATCCCCTCTCCAACAACAACACCTCATATCCTTCCCACAACAACCTCATATCCTCCCACAACAACACCTCATATCCCTCTCCACATCAACACCTCATATCCCTCCAACAACAACACCTCATATCCTCTCCTATCAACACCTCATATCCTCTCCACACATAACACCTCATATCCCTCCTACATCAACACCTCATATCCCTCCAACAACAACACCTCATATCCCTCCCAACAACAACCTATATCCCTCCCTCAACAACACCTCCTCATATCCCTCCTTACAACAACACCTCCTATATCCCTCTCCAACAACAACACCTCATATCCTCTCCCATAACAACCTCCTCATATCCCTCCCACAACAACACCTCATATCCCTCCTACATCAACACCTCATATCCTCTCCAACAACAACACCTCATATCCTTCCCACAACACAATATCCTCTCCAACAACACCTCATATCCCCTCCAACAACAACACCTCATATCCTTCCCTACAACAACACCTCCTATCCCTCCCATGTACAACAACACCTCATATCCTCTCCCATAACAACACCTCATATCCCTCTTACAACAACACCTCATATATCCCTCCTCAACAACACCTCCTCATATCCCTCCCAAACAACACCTCATATCCCTCCCAACACCAACACCTCTATCCCCTCCAACAACAACACCTCATATCCCTCCCACACCAACAACACCTCATATCCCTCCCAACAACAACACCTCATATCCTTCCCATACACCAACACCTCATATCCCTCCCAACAACAACACCTCATATCCTTCCCATAACAACCCTCATATCCCTCCCACACCAACACCTCATATCCTCTCCACAACAACACCTCATATCCCTCCTACACCAACACCTCATATCCCTCCCACACCAACACCTCATATCCCTCCCACACCAACACCTCATATCCCTCCAACAACAACACCTCATATCCCTCCAACAACAACAACACCTCATATCCTTCCCATAACAACACCTCCTCATATCCCTCCCACACCAACACCTCATATCCCTCCCACACCAACACCTCATATCCCTCCAACACCAACACCTCATATCCTTCTCCCATAACAACACCTCATATCCCTCCAACAACAACACCTCATATCCTTCCCATAACAACACCTCATATCCCTCTCCAACAACACCTCATATCCTTCCCATAACAACACCTCATATCCTCTCCCACAACAACACCTCATATCCCTCTTACACCAACACCTCATATCCCTCCAACAACAACACCTCATATCCTTCCCATAACAACACCTCATATCCCTCCAACAACACCTCATATCCCTCCTATATTAACACCTCATATCCCTCCAACAACACCTCATATCCCTCCCACACCAACACCTCATATCCCTCCTACACCAACACCTCATATCCCTCCCACAACAACACCTCATATCAACGCACAACACCAATTCACATCTAACCCATGACACCACCTCATGTCAAACGCTCAACACCACATTATAACCCACCCTCAACACCACCTCACATCTGTCCCACCAGACCGCCCTCCACAGTACCACCTCATATCGCACCCACCACACCACCTCATGTTAAACCCTCAACACCACCTCACATCTGACCCACCAGACCTCCCTCCACAGTACCACCTCATATCTCACCCATCACACCACCTCATGTGAAACCCTCAACACCACATTATACCCCACCCTCAACACCACATCATATCAAAACCTCAGCACCACCTCACATCTGACCCACCAGACCGCCCTCCACAGTACCACCTCATATCGCACCCACCACAAAGCTCTCTACAAAACTACGTCATACCCCACCCATAGCACCGTCTGATACCCCACCTACCACACATTCAGAACATCGTCATGAAGGCCACTCACCTCGTACATGCTGGTCACCTGCAGAGAGTGCATGATGGGGACGATAGTGAATATTCCTATGACGTAGCTCAGACTTACACCGATCACATGTAAAACAAAAGTAATTCCCGTCGTGAACGTCTCCGCTGGCATTCCTATAAGTGACGTGGACGACATGAACGTCACAAACAACGACAACGTAACAGGAATCACATGTAGTTTCCTTCCTCCGAGAAGATATTCTTCTTTGGTATTTCTCTTCCTTCCTTTAACGGCAAGATAGACACCCATACCCAACGGCACCGACAACGTTGCTGCAATCACGACATAGTCCACTACATACAACGTCGGTGACGTAGCCATGTTGAGAGAAAGTCACAAACAGACTGCAGTGTTGAATGACAGGTTAAGTAGCCATACAGAACCCGACAGGAACATTCAAATTCTGATCACAGGGGTGGCAGGTTGGTTTGCATAAAGAATCTATATGTCCCTGAAATTCTGCACAGTGATAATGGAAACTATACACTTCTGGATATTTCAAATGACACATAACAATAACACAATATGTGTGTACATTAGACAGGGTTTAAGTCTAAGTCCATCAAGCACGGATGTCCTGTTTGAGTGAAAGGTCTGTCAGCGCGCTGAACAGAGCGAGGGGAAATATTTTAAACTCTGCCAGTGACCTAGACAATGCAAGGGTGTCGCTTGGGGCGCTGTATACATGTCCCTCCTTTCAATGAACCATAAATGCTAACCTCGACCAAACAGCCGCCTTAGAGGTTAAACCTTCAGTGAATTAATTCAGCTGAACACTGTAACTGATTTAGAACAAGGGTGACCTGTCAGTGATTATAGTGGATGAGTGAGTGAGTTTAGTTTCACGTCACCTGGGTGACCTGTCAGTGAGTCAGTCTATGGATTATGTGGTTCAAAAAGCTTGAACGCTGTGGATGTTTTAATACATATGTTGGTGTAAATGTGTGTAGGTTCGTGTTTTCAAGTCGCAGTATATACGCAGTAACGTTAGACGCGACGTACAATCTCACTGAATTCATTCACCTTAATTCATTGTTGGTATGAAACATATGAATAAATGTCCTTCTTGTGGTGGAGTGAGTGAATGAGTGAGTTTAGTTTTACGCCGCTTTTAGCAATATTCCAGCAATATCACGGCGGGGGACACCAGAAATGGGCTTCACACATTGTGCCCATGTGAGGAATCGAATCCGGGTCTTCGGCGTGACGAGCACACGCTTTAACCACTAGGCTACCCCAGCACCCCCTCTTGTGCTGGAGAAAGAACGGCCTTCACAACATGGGATAAAATACAACACCGACGGTTTTGGTTGAATGTAAATCCTCGAGCCTTTCTCTCGCTCGGGGGAGTCTGTTTTCCTCATGCACCAGGCTGTTGTGTTCGGGCGTTTGAATCAAACATGGTGCTGGTGTGTTTTAGCAACCTTGTTTTTCGCTGTTTTTCACTATGTTTCATTTCACTCAAACTCAACGAATATTGAATCAGTTGCTTCACTGCATGTTCGAACATGTTTAAAGTGCCCATTAAGCACACAAAAAGTTGCATTTACCTTAGAGTATAAATGACCTCACCACGTTTCAGTTTCTATATGACTATCATATTTTAGGGTGTTCCCATATTTTTTGTTTGTAGTATACAATGGTAAATCATGTTAAGCACGTATTGCGCGTGCAGGAGTTTCACAGCCAAAACTTCACTCGTGGAATGTACGCTTATCGAATGACAAAAATGTGTATCATGATTCTGTCACTCAAACATTGTCATGCAGTACGGACCTGTCGATCAAACTGCTTGTCATCGCCAGCAAAATAGGCATCACGTGACCTAACGTTTCTAGTTAGACACGGCCGAAAGCATACCATTGGTGGTACAGTGAGTGAGTGAGTTTAGTTAAGTTTTACGCCGCTTTTAGCGATATTTTATGAACCTGTGAAGATCCGGGTTAGAATTGATTTTCAGTAATCCATGCTTGCCGTAAGAGGTGACTAACGATATCGGATAATCAGGCTCTCTGACTTGTTTGACACATGTCATCGTATCAAAATAGTGTAGATCGATGTTCATGCTGTTGATCACTTGGTTGTCTGGTCCAGGACCGATTATTTACAGCTGGATATAGCCATATAGCTGGATTATTGCTGAGTGCGGCGTAAAGCTAAACTCACTCACACAATCACTTCTCAATCACATCATGGCAGGCCTATTTTCTTGAGTGTACAATACATCAACATGGCGGAACTTCGTGTGTAGCAGAAACATTTCACAAGACTAGGCTTATTGTTGTGTTCACACGTGGTCATCAAAACGTAATTGTTCACAGGAAGCTCATTTTAACACTCCATACGGGCGTTTTCCATTTCGCCGGGATCAAAGGTTGGTGACGTCTTCCAAAATCGCCAGGATCGTGTGTTTGAAATGGGCGAATATAAACACCCATTGGTTGAATATTTACTGATCAGTGGACTTAGGAAGAATACGACCCAAATCTGTGCAACACATTCAGAACAACGAAGGACGAAGGTATAAGACTGAATGCAGATAAAATACAAATGTGTCTACCAGAAGTTAAATTTGAAGGAGAGATTGCCAGTGCAGGGGAATGAAGTTGGACCCAGAGAAGGTTGAGGGAGTCCGGACCCCATTGCAACTAACAGGAAGGAATTAGATGGGAAATGCCCGCATACATTGCACTAAACGCGCCGTTCCTTACCAAACAAGACGCTCAGTGGATGTGGACTGACAGACATGAGATAGTCTATGAGGGGATTAGGTGCGGTAGGGTAATCAAGTGGTTAAAGCAGTCACTCGTCACGCCGAATTCCGGGTTCGATTCCTCACATGGGTACAATGTGAGAAGCCCATTTCTGGTGTCCCCCGCCGTGATATTGTTGGAATATTGCTAAAAGCGGCGTAAAACTAACTCACTCATTCACTCACTCCACCACAAGAAAGACATTTATTCATATGTTTCATACCAACAATGAATTAAGGTGAATGAATTCAGTGAGATTGTACGTCGCGTCTAACGTTACTGCGTATATACTGCGACTTGAAAACACGAACCTACACACATTTACACCAACATATGTATTAAAACATCCACAGCGTTCAAGCTTTTTGAACCACATAATCCATAGACTGACTCATTGACAGGTCACCCAGGTGACGTGAAACTAAACTCACTCACTCATCCACTATCAGGAGATAAATGATCTTATAACCCGGTCACCATTATCAGTACTTCGATCGTCAGAAGGATGGTGTGCTCCAAGTCGCAGAATGACGTTAGTGCTGCTCTGCTCCAAGACAACGAACCTGACTGTTTAAACACTCAAAGAAACTAAACACAGATTGAGTAGGAGGCCGTAGTTTTTGGATGTGAAACGTCCAGTCTTCGCATTAACGCAGAAACCTTAGTTTTACACGAAAAAAACAACAAAAACACGCAAAAGATATTTTGAGTGCGTGTTTTGCACGCATACATTCTGATTTACAGGTTATATTGTTATTGACAATACTGCGTACTTCTCTCTAAATTGAGTCTTCTTGGAGGTTACGGAAAGGGGCGAGTGGTGACGAATGGCGAGAAAAAGGCAGGTCCACCATATATGGACATTGGCGTGTTGACCGAGAGAGAGCTGAGCTTGGATGAAGTTAATACAAATCTAAAGTTATAATAAATCTAATTCTATCAAAGTAGTGGGAAAATCCTTTAGCTTAAGAATTTCCATCAAGGTATGTTGAAATTCGGAAATTTATAGATCTTTCTGTTTGGTTAGTTCACATTGATATTTTATGGACGCTTCCAAAATTAAGCGTTCTTCAAGAAAGCTTCAGTTTGTTGAAGGCATTCATGTAAACCTTTTTGATGTTGCGTGATGCAAAACCGTTCTCATCTTGTTTTTATTATCATATTTGTCCAACAATGCAGTGAAAATATTTGTATCTACAGATTCATTGGTGAACAGCAGAGAAAATTGAACGTTTCGTGGCAGAAGGTCATGCACTGTAGTTGCGGTGTTCAGAAAGCAAAGATTGTGTATTCTGTGGCTATAGTACACTCTTTGAAAGGAATGACCGAAAGTCTAATACATTTGGTTACTATTCGCCTGTCACAGATATTATTGCTCAGCTTGTAATGAGCCATATTCACTCTCATTCTAAACATCACAGCTATGTGCAAATTGGGGAAGACTACAAGGATATCATATCATCCAAGAAAGTTTCAGTACTCGGCACAATGTCATCGTTCCACAATGCTGAAGTTCAGAAAATCAAATACATTTGAAGAAGATGATAGTGGTAATTACACTACTTTGTGGAAGTCAGATCATTCCACTCTGTGCACACGTTGAGGATAAAATCAACTTCTCTATTCTTAAAGTCCTTGCTAAAGATGATCCTGTTCTTGCACACCACCTCTCGTTTGTAATATACTTTACCCGAAATACGGAATGAAATCATCAACATTTGTGAGGAACAAGTTGAACAATATATACTTGAAAAGTGGGCTGGTGACTACTTTTGTTGGCCGATGAAACCACAGATCTGGATTGATCTACAAAAACGCAATTATGCATTTGCCTCAGATTTGTAGATGAGAACGCATCTGTGCAAGAATGCTTTTTGGGGTTCGTGCATGCACTATCCATCAAAGGAGGAGATATTTATGACTTTCTACTTGCATTTATGATGGCAAGACACATCAGCATTGGCAATATGCGAGCACAAGGATATGAAAGAGCAAGTAGCATGTCCAGTAGGATCAATGGCGTCATCAACATACGCCAAATGCACTGCACGTTCATTGTAAGGCACACTGTTTGCGTTCCACTACTCGTCCAAACGAATGGACACTTTTAGAACTTGACACGTCTCCCAATGTCAAACATACCTTGCAGAGGAAGACAAAGATTGTCAAGTTGTGCGAGAGGAGGTGGACCGGCAGGGCAGATGCTCTCACAACATTCAAGAACGCATTTCCCGTGCTTATTCTGGCTCTGGAGTACCTGCAGGCAAACAGTGATGACAAAGCAGGATTGCATCTTAATATCATTTTGAGATATGACTTCATCATTGCATTGGTTGTGTGTGAGATAGATGTCGACCTGTCAAACTTTCTTCAGGACAAGTCATGCGACATGCCGTCAGCAATGGAAGAATGCCGTGTTGTCATGACTTAATTACGAACCGAGTGTGAGGATGACATCATCTGGACTATATGATGAAGCCAACCAGACTGCATAAGATTTCCATACTGAACCATCCATGACACGTCGTGTTGGGCACCAGCAGCACAGAGCCAATGTTGATTACTGGTGCCGCTGTCGGTATTATGTGTGTTTTTTATCACAT